AGCATCTCATAGCACTTATTCTAAAATTGACCACGTAATTGGAAGTAAAACACTTCTCAGCAAATGTGAAAGAATGGAAATCATAACAAACAGTCTTTCAGAGCACAGTGCAATCAAATTAGAACTCAGGATTGGGAAACTCACTCAAAACTGGGTAAATAACAAAATGAAGGCAGAAATAAAGATGTTCTTTGAAACCAATGAGAACAAAGACACAACGTACCTGAATGTCTGACACAGTTAACACAGTGTTTAGAGGGAAATTTATAGCACTGAATGCCCACAAGAGAGCAGGAAAGATCTAAAATCGACACCCTAACATCAAAATTAAAAGAACTAGAGTAGCAAGGGCAAACAAATTCAAAAGCTAGCAGAAGACAAGAAATAGCTAAGAGCAGAACTAAAGGAGATAGAGACATGAAAAATGCTTCAAAAATTCAATGAATCTAGGAGCTGACTTTTTGAAAAGATCAGTAAAATAGATTGACTGCTAGTCAAACTAATAAAGAAGAAAAGAGAGAAGAATCAAATAGATGCAATAAAAAATGATATAGGGGATATCACCGCTGATCCCACAGAACTACAAACTACCATCAGAGAATACTATAAACACCTCTATGCAAATAAACTAGAAAATCTAGAAGAAATGGATAAATTCCTGGACACATACACCCTCCCAAGTCTAAACCAGGAAGAAGTCGAATCCCTGAATAGACCAAATAACAGGTTCTGAAATTGAGGCAGTAATTAATAGCCTGTCAAGCAAAAAAAGTCCAGCACCAGACGGATTCACCGCTGAATTCTACCAGAGGTACAAAGAGGAGCTGGTAATATTCCTTCTGAAACTATTCCAAACAAAAGGAAAAGAGGGAATCCTCCCTGACTCATTTTATGAGGCCAGCATCATTCTGGTACCACAACCTGACATCAAAAAAAGAAAATTTCAGGCCAATATCTCTGATGAACATCGATGTGAAAATCATCAATAAAATACTGGCAAACCAAATCCAGCAGCACATCAAAAAGCTTATCTACCACGATCAAGTCAGCTTCATACCTGGGATGCAAGGCTGGTTCAAGATATGCAAATCAATAAAAGTAATCCATCACATAAACAGAAGCAATGACAAAACCATATAATTATCTCAATAGATGTAGAAAAGGCCTTTGACAAAATTCAGCAGCCCTTCATACTAAAAAAAACTCAACAAACTAGGTGTTGATGGAATGTATCTCAAAATAATAAGAACTATTTATGACAAACAACCAATATCATACTGAATGGGCAGAAACTAGAAGCATTCCTTTGAAAACTAGCACAAGACAAGGATGCCCTCTCTCACTACTCCCATTTAACGTAGTATTGGAAGTTCTGGCCAGGGCAATCAGACAAGAGAAAGGAATAAAAGATATTCAGACAGGAAAAGTGGAAGTCAAATTATCTCTGTTTGCAGATGACATGATTGTATATTTAGAAAACACCTTCATCTCAGCCCCAGATCTCCTTAAGCTGATAAGCAACTTCAGCAAAGTCTCAGGATACAAAATCAATGTGCAAAAATCACAAATATTCCTATATACCAGTAACAAACAGAGAGCCAAATCATGAGTGAGCTCCCATTCACAGTAGCTTCAAAGGGAATAAAATACCTAGGAATCCAACTTACAAGAGATGTAAAGGACCTCTTCACGGACAACCACAAACCACTGCTCAAGGGAATAAGAGAGGACTCAAACAAATGGAGAAACATTCCATGCTCGTGGATAGGAAGAATTAATATCATTAAGATGGCCATACTGCCCAAAGTAATTTATTGATTTAGTGATATCCCCATCAAGCTACCATTGACTTTCTTCACAGAATTGGAAAAAAGTACTTTAAACTTCATATGGAACCAAAAGAGAGGCTGCATAGCCAAGACAATCCTAAGCAAAAAGAACAAAGCTGGAGGCATCACGCTACCTGACTTCAAACTACACTACAAGGCTAAGTAACCAAAACAGCATGGTAGTGGTACCAAAACAGGTATATAGACCAATGGAACAGAACAGAGCCCTCAGAAATAACACCACACATCTACAACCATCTGATCTGTGACAAACCTGACAAAAACAAGCAATGGGGAAAGGATTCCCTATTTAATCAGTGGTGTTGGGGAAACTGGCTAGCCATATGCAGAAAGCTGAAACTGGACCCCTTCCTTACACCTTATACAAAAATTAACTCAAGATGGATTAAAGACTTAAAAGTAAGACCCCAAACCATAAAAATCCTAGAAGAAAACCTAGGAAATACCATTCAGGACATAGGCATGGGCAAAGGCTTCATGTTTAAAACACCAAAAGCAATGGCAACAAAAGCCAAAATTGACAAATAGGATCTAATTAAACTAAAGAGCTTCTGCACAGCAAAAGAAACTATCATCAGAGTGAACAGGAAACCTACAAAATGGGAGAAAATTTTTGCATTCTATCCATCTGACAAAGGGCTAATATCCAGGATCTACGAAGAACTTAAATTTATAACAAAAAAACAACTCCATCAAAAAGTGGGCAAAGGATATGAACAGACACTTCCAAAAGAAGACATTTATGTAGTCAATAAACATGAAAAAAATGCTCATTATTACTGGTCATTATAGAAATGCAAATCAAAACCACAATAAGATAACCATCTCACACCAGTTAGAATGGTGATCATTAAAAAGTCAGGAAACAACAGTTGCTGGAGAGGATGTGGAGAAATAGGAACACTTTTACCACTGTTGATGGAAGTGTAAATTAGTTCAACCATTGTGGAAGACGGTGTGACTATTCCTCAAGGATCTAGGACTAGAAATCCATTTGACCCAGCAATCCCATTATTGGGTATATACCCAAAGGATTATAAATCATTCTACTATAAAGACACATGCACACATATGTTTATTGTGGCACTATTCACAATAGCAAAGACTTGGAACCAACCCAAATGTCAATCAGTGATAGACTAGATAAAGAAAATGTGACACATATATACTATGGAATACTATGCAGCCATAAAAACGGTTGAGTTCATGTCCTTTGCAGAGTCATGGATGAAGCTGGACACTATCATTCTCAGCAAACTAACACAAGATCAGAAAACCAGACACCGCATGTTCTCACTCATAAGTGGAAGTTGAACTATGAGAACACATGGACACAGAGAGGGGAACGTCACACACCAGGGCCTGTCAGGGGATGGAGGCTAGGGGAGGGGTAGCATTAGGAGAAATACCTAATATAGCTGATGGGTTGATGGGTGCAGCAAACCACCATGGCACGTGTATACCTATGTAACAAAACTGCATATTCTGCACATGTACCCCAGAACTTAAAGTATAATAATAATAAAAATAAAGAAAGAACGATAGGCAATACAGAAAATGGTATTGGTGACACAGTCTTGGATTACGCAAATGGAAGAGCATATTGAGAACACGATCAACTCCTAAAAACTTTCAAATTCATTTTTAAATTAATGTAACCTATTTTCTTCTGTAGATAAACCAGCTTTTTCTCAAATCTGCTCTAACTCATGTTCCATTTTAGCATTTAATGACTGCTCCATGGGGATCTGCCACATCATACAAGTCTGCGTGTACTGGATGGGCCCATGAGCAGAGGAGCTAGGCGAGAAGGCACAAGTGACCTGGTGCTTTAAGTTGACACCTGGCTCTTCACTCTTGGGAAAATAAAGATAAAGAAAAATCATTAGCTGCCAAGCCAGTGACCTTCATGGGGGAGGGGTACACTCTTATAGGAGAGGTGGGATGTATATGATTAAAGTTTTTCTGTGATTTATTTGTCTTTTTTAGCACTTGACCCATGATTCATGTTCAGTGAATGTCATTTTGAATGAATAAAACATCTGTTACCCTCATGGTGCCCCGTATTTGAAACCACCACGGTATATATTTTGCAAATTTGAGGATGTGTTGTCTAAATTCATTATTCTTAAAAGAAGAGACTTTACAGAAATGGCTGCTTATTACATTCAATAAAGATATGCGAAGTTTTTGGGAATATTCCAGGTTGTAAGATAACTTGGGGATTATTACCAAGACCAATGTTTCTATGGGGAAATGTGCTGTAAGTTTCAAAAATAACTTTTAGCATAACATCAATACATAAATTCCAGATTCCCCCTATTGTGTTGGATTCTAAAATTTTGAAAATATGTAATACATAGCATTAATTTTTATTTATCCAACATATTCAAATAATTAGTATACTGAAATTACTCATTTTGAGTAAATATGATGAATTGTTAGTAATTATTCAATGATAAGGAGGAAAGTGAGTTTTGCCAAGTTTATGGGAGCTGACACTTTCGCCAGAGTGCCCCTTCTGTTTTCTTGACACTTGATTCCATCATGAACACTGCCTCTGTGACTACTGTTATTGGTCAAGCCATTTGGGCACATGTGAAAAATTTGAAAATTTGTATTTTGTTGTTGTTGTTGTTTTTCCTTTTTGGGGGAGAGGGGGAGGCAGAGTCTTGCACTGTTGCCAGGCTGGAGTGCAGTGGCACAATCTCAGCTCACTGCAACCTCTGCCTCCTGGGTTCAAGTGATTCTTCTGCCTCAGCCTCCCAAGTAGCTGGGACCACAGGCTTGCACCACCAAGCCCAGCTAATTTTTTTTTTTTTAAGTAGAGACAGGGTTTCACCATATTGGCCACGCTGGTCTTGAACTCCTGACCTCAAGTGATCCACCCGCCTGGGCCTCCCAAAGTGCTGGGATTACAGGCGTGAGCCACCATGCCCGGCCCATTTGTAGTTTTTTATATTCTACATCTTCCGCTCCTTATCTCACAGCTTACATACTGGTCATTTGTTTTGTGATGGGGGAAAGTGCATATATTGATGAAACTGTTTGCTACTAAAGCAACCTCAGGTAGTATGCTAATGGCTCAAGTCAAATAACAGCATTTTTCCTGAAAATTATTTCTAAATCACTGACACTGTTTGTTTATAGGTCTTCCTATCACTGGGCTCTAATTTCACTTTGCAACTGGTGACTGTGATGCTTGTCGGTGGACGTTTCTATGGAATGCCAACAATTCTTCAGGAAGCAAAATCTGCTGTCCTTTCAGTCTCTGAGAAAGCTGCCAATTCTCAGGTAATTGGCCCTGGGTGTGGTTCTCTCAGCAGACCACTAGAGAGCAGCTTTTACAGGAAGGACGGAGACTCTTAGAGCTAGCATTTCTCATGAGTAACTATTTTCTTAAATATAAATAACTCTGTGAATATCACAGTAGATGTAACCGATATATTATATAAAAATACTTAGTCTATTTTCAACATTCAGCAGGAAAAAAAGAGATATGTCCAGATCTCTTCTTGATATTATGTATCTAATATTGAGGTATTTTATGTTAAATAATTAAAATTATAATGAAGCACTAATATTCCAGACCTTTTCTTGTACTAACATTGTGAATGTTTATCTTTAATATTCAGACTTTGGTTTACTGGGGCGAGTTTGTGCTGATGTAGATAAATGTTGATGGTCAGATCCTGTGATATGGTTGTATCTAAGTATTTGCATCTTCTGTCTGAGGTCGTTGTAGGAAAGATTATTTCCCAATCGCTTCATAAATGCTCATGAGAACAAAGAACAACTTGAGGGCTTTCCTTTCCTTTCAGGTGGATTCTGTCAATATAAGAAAAAGACAAGGCTGTTGTCTGTGGCTATGGTAACATGTGTATTTTTGAAGCCATTGTGAGATATAATTCTATCCTGCTCCTTCAGGTGGGAGCTGAAGTGACGTGGGCAAGCCTGTCTTAAGATTGCTGAGGTGGAATCTGTACAGATGAATGGGTAGGAATATGGGCAGATATAGTCTCTGGCCACTACGGGATGCTCTTCAGCTACTCCCTCCTGAGCATCTTCTCCAAGGAGAATGAATGCTTTTTATCTTAAAATGGAATACACTGGCATTTAAAATAACTGAGAGGAAGAGGTTTTTTTTTTCTTTGCCTCCTCTTCTTTAAGAGCGAATGAAGAAATAGAATTTATTAGTGTTTTGAATTTTGTTGTCTTCTTTTTGTTCATGGGTTGTTATAAAAAAAAGATTCAGCAAAACCATTCATTTAGAGTAAAACATTTCCTACTGCTTATCCATGCATATTGTCACAATACTGTATCACCCCAAAGGGCAAGGCTAGAGTCCATCATGGTACATTCATGTCTTTGGTGTATACTCTATACTCGTATCAGTGTTTGGGGTGTGTGTGTGTGTGTGTATGTGTGTTTGTGTGTGTGACGTGGCTAGGGCATTTTAAAATAGCCCTCTAGCCATGTAGCAAGAATGATCTCACTCAAAGCTTTTGGCATTTGCTAAGCAGAAGCCTCACTGGGCTGGGCATGGTGGCTCATGCTTTTAATCTCAGCAATTTGGGAGGCCCAGGTGGGCGAATCCCCTGAGGTCAGGAGTTTGAGACTAGCCTGATCAACATGGCGAAACCCCATCTCTACTAAAAATACAAAAGTAGCTGCATATGGTCGCACACGCCTGTAGTCCCAGCTACTGGGGAGACTGAGGCATGAGAATCATTTGAACCCGGGAGGTAGAGGTTGGAGTGAGCCGAGATCATGCTACTGCACTCCAGCCCGGGTTGCAGAGCGACATTCTGTCGAAGAAGAAGGAGGAGGAGGAGAGGGAGAGGAGGGAGAGGAGGAGGAACTGTCGAAGAAGAAGGAGGAGGAGGAGAGGGAGAGGAGGGAGAGGAGGAGGAAGAGGAGGGAGAGGAGGGGGAAGAGGAGGAGGAAGAAGAGGAGGAAGAGGAAGAAGAGGAGGAGGAAGAGGAAGAGGAGGAGGAACAGGAAGAAGAAGAGGAGGAAGAAGAAGAACAGCCTCACTGTCAGTAACAGAGAATCTAGGCTGGAGTCAAATTAAAGTAGTTGTTGTTTTTCCTCTGTGGCTCCAGAAGTTATCCTGTGGAACCCTCTCACATTTTTCTATTATTCTTCGTTACAATTTAAGAAGGGGAGAATGAGTTTTAATATATAACTCTTGATTAAATGGTATCCCACATTTATAGCTATTGAGACCAAAAGAGGTAAACTGAATTGTTCAAATCAAAATGTGAAGCCAGGAATCCGCTTTTCTTCCTCATTGCTCAGAACTTACTTCATCTATAAATCACATACCCTGGGAATGTTGCGCATAAAACAAAATCTTACTTGATGCTTGTGATAGAGATGGATATTTAAAAAAACTTTGAAGTCTTCTGGTCTTCAAAAAAAGGTATAAAATTAAGTTGGAGCTGACAAGAACCCTAATAGAAGGTCTAGTTCATGGTGCTTATTTTATAAATGACAAGATATACTATTCTATCTTAGAAGGCAAATTTTAGTTCTACAAATGAGGTTCTGGAAAGACCCATGAACAAGTCCTGTTAAATGCCATTTAAAATAGTTTCCTTTCATTTAACCATAATTATGCTTACCTTTTTTGGATGTTGTTCATTCAAAAGATAGCCTTTTGATTAAAAAAGAAAAAGCTATCGACTATAACCTAAATAATAAAGTAAAATAAATTTTAAAATCTGAGATGTTATTTCTTAAGCACTTCTCTTTAATTCAATATAAGACAAGGATATATATTATATAAACCAAGGAAAAGTTTATGTTTAACCCATTCCTCAGAAAACAGGAAGGTTTAGAGAGAAATAAAATAAGCATGATTTTTCCCTCAGGTCGGATTTGACTCCACTGCTTTTCAACTCATGAACATCACTGCCGGCACAAGCCACGTTATGATTTCTAGGAGGGGCACATATGGTGCTCTGTCAGTTGCCTGGACCACTGGATATGCTCCTGGGTTAGAAATTCCTGAATTCATTGTTGTTGGCAACATGACCCCAACACTGGGTGAGTTGTAGTTTTTCTAAGATGAGTCCTGTAGAATATTGGAAAGATATCATTGACCACTAATTGTCTTGGGTTATTCTTATTCTGGACACTGAATGTAGTTTTCTAATACAATACTCCCATATTTAAGTGATCAGAGTAGTGCAGGTTGCTTGGTGAGAAAAGGAGAGAAACTTTTTTCAGTCAAATTAACAACTTCATGCCTTACCTCAAAAGAGTGGGGTCACTAAGCAAACTACTCTGTCTATACAATAGGAGCTTGTTGAAAGTAATTCTAAGAATCTAATTTGGCAAATACAGTAATAAGAAAAATAAAAATACGTACAGCTCTTCTATGCATTTCCATGTTCACCTGACTATTTCTGGCAGTACGGCAGCTGTTACTTTAGATACTTTATTTTTTATTTTATTTTTTTTTTTTTTGAGACAGAGTCTCGCTTAGTCGCCCAGGCTGGAGTGCAGTGGCGCGATCTCGGCTCACTGCAAGCTCCGCCTCCCAGGTTCACGCCATTCTCCTGCCTCAGCCTCCCGAGTAGCTGGGACTACAGGCGCCCGCCGCCTCGCCCGGCTAATTTTTTGCATTTTTAGTAGAGACGGGGTTTCACCGTATTAGCCAGGATGGTCTCGATCTCCTGACCTCGTGACCCGCCCGCCTCGGCCTCCCAAAGTGCTGGGATTACAGGCGTGAGCCACCGCGTCCGACTGATACTTTATTTTTTAAAGTATACCATTAGCTCTTTGAGAGTTAGTGAGATGCGAATGTTAGATGGTTTGACCTCTAACGTGTTATAGAAAGCTCATTGCAAATTTAGATAATGAGAGTTTATAAAGAACCCTCCAGTGGGCTCAGAATCTGAGGATCTCCCTCCTTGATTCACAGGGTCTTGTTGGTCACCAGGCAAACACCATTTACACTCGGTAAGAAACCTAATGAATCCTGTGGAGGACTGAGATCCTTAGTCTCTCAAAGAGGAGGGAATGATTTTCATTTTCCCAAGATCTTGGCATCACTGAGAGATAAGAAGGAATGAAAGCTAAAGTCCTGTAGAAGATGGGGGGTGAGGGCTAGGCCAATGAAAATGACATTTTCATGCCAGCTTCCATCCTAACAGCAATCCCAGAACACAGAGAGAAATTAGCTGCGTGATTGAGAGACACCATAGTGTGATAACTGCCTTGGATACTAGGGCTTCTTTAGCCACTGGATAGGTGCCCTAATCTGATGTCTGAGACATTGGCTCCTCTTGTTTTCCTTTTGGCATGTCCCCTAAGTTAAAGATATTTAATTATCTTTTCTTTTTTATTTTCTAGCCCCTTTTTTCCTGCAGAAACTCTTATCTTTTACTTCCTTACTCCTCTGTCACTTTGGGTGGTATGTATAGCTCCATACAATTTAGGGTGATTTTTAAAAAATTTTATGTTAGTAACTACTTCTACATATGAAAAGATTTATGTGTAGAAATATTGCTTATTATGAGTGTGTATACGATTTTGTGCTTACATATCACATTAATCTTCAAACGCTTTTGTGAGTTTATGTTAACTTGATTCAACTGAAATAACAGGAGTTCCCAAATAATAGATCTGTATCTTCAAACAGGTTCATTTAGTTTTTTTGAGGCTTTGTAATAAATTTTCAGACACAATGAAAAGTACAGTATACACCCATAAACTCACTGACTAGATTTATTTATTTATTTTATTTTTAATTTTTTTTTTCTTTTTTTTTTTTTTTGAGACAGAGTCTTGCTCTATCACCCATGCTGGAGTGCAGTGGTGCCATCTCAGCTCACTGCGACATCCACCTCCCGGGCTCAAGGTATTCTCCTGCCTCAGCCTCCTGAGTAGCTGGGATTACAGGCTCGCTCCACCATGCCTGGCTAAGTTTTGTATTTTTTGTAGAGATGCGGTTTCACCATGTTGGCCAGGCTGATCTCAAACTCCTGACCTCAAGATCCATCCTCTTTGGCCTCCCAAAGTGTTGGGATTACAGGTGTGAGCCACTGTACCTGGCCTTGACTGGATTTAATAGTTGTTACAGTCAGCCATATTTGTGACATTTTTTCTGAAGCATTTTAAAGTAAAATACATAGATTATGATATTTCACCCCAATCTACTTCAATATGTATCCTAAAAATATTCTGGGGCCAGAATTTAAACCAAAGCCTGACACTAAATCTGTATTAAAGCCTGCCTAACACCAGTCTCTTTTCACTATTGGATTTTGTCATTGAGCCAGGAAAGAAAAAGATATAAAAGAGAAAAGTAAACAGGGACTGACAGCAAGATTTGTGTGGTCTCCTGTAAGTTTACCTCTCCCCTATCCCTTTATAAAAATGTTTTACCTTTTGTAAACTATAATTGAATTTTGGATAAGAAAATATATTACTACAGTTTTAAAAGTCAAATCCCAGTTTAAGATAAGAACTAATACCCTACTTTCCTTTTCATGTTTTCCTTCAGGGAGCCTTTCATTTTCCCACGGTGAACAAAGGAAAGGAGTTTTCCTGTGGACGTTTCCCAGCCCTGGTCGGCCAGAGGCCTTTGTTCTTCATCTATCAGGAGTGCAGAGCAGCGCTCCTGGCGGAGCTCAACTCCGGTAAGACCAACCTAATTCTCACCCAAGAAATTCTCTGAGGAATAATCTGGAACTCATCCATCAAAACAGAAAAAGGCACAAGGATTATTCTCCTTGAAGGAAACGCAAACATAGTTTTAGTGTAGAGCATCACATGGCGTGCATGCTGGAGAGGGAGGCGGCTCTCAGGAGCCCCACCACCCACTGGTTGCCTTAAAGAGAGTTCCTCATGCTCCACCTTGAGAATGGAGGCTGGGGTACCATCTCCACTAAAAGCCATGATGGCAGTTCTCCTCTTGTTAAAGGAAGCTGTCTTCTGAGAAGCTGAAAATACCTGATTGCTCCAAGTGATTAAGAGTAAGAATAAGATTAAGTAAGAATAAGACATCACAGTGGGGTGATAAATATTACCTGTTTGGATCAGTGACCCTTTGACTTTAATTTAATTTTATTGAATTTTACTATGTATCTGTAGTGACTCTTTCTGCAAATACAGTATATTTGCAGATAAATACGTACCAGCCAAAAGCAATTTACTTTCCTTATTTCTGGGATAGACTCAACCAGAGCAGTAGAGGGCAGATCTGTTATTCAGACTTAGGGATTTGGTCCTGGCTTTGCCACTTACTCACTGTGTGACTTTGAGAAAGTTACTTGATCTTTCTGTTCTTCGGTTTATTTGTAAAATAAAGAAGATTTGGAGGTATGAAAACTAGAGCGTATTCAAGTATGTTTGTATACATGTTTATGTGTGGGAGATCTCCATTGGGGAAATCAGATATAACTTTATACATATGCCATTTTTAAAATGTTCGTCATTTTAAAACATATTTTAGAGTTACAAATTCAAATGCTTTAACAGCAACAATAGTCATTAACAGTATTATAGTGCTTGGCCAGTTGTGGTGGCTCACACCTGTAATCCCAGCACTTTGGGAGGCCAAGGCAGGCCAATCACCTGAGGTTGGGAATTCAAGACCAGACTGGCCAACATGGCGGAACCCCATCTGTACTTAAAATACAAAACATCTGCCAGGTGTTATGGCATGTGCCTGTAGTCCCAGCTACTTGGGAGGCTGAGGCAGGAGATTCGCTTGAGCCCAGGAGGCAGAGGTTGCAATGAACTGAGATCGCGCCACAGCGCTCCAGCCTGGGCAACAGAGTGAGTGAGACTCTGTCTCAAAAACAACAACAACAAGTAGTATTACAGTGCGTACCCTAGGTCAGGCATAAATCTTATAGTGCTTACTCTAGGCCAGGCATAAATCATACACACACACAAACACACACATGCACACACATATTCTCTCTCTCTCTCTTTACTCTCCCCAGCAGCCTTACGAAGTAGATTCTATTATTTGTCCCATTTCATAAATGACAAAAGTCATAGATAGATTATGCAATAACCCAGAAGCACACAGTTTATACATGTTGGGGTCATGATTTCAACCCAGGCTGAATGACCTCTGTCTGAGTTGTTACCACTGTTTTATGTAGTGAGTGCTAGCTGCTTGACAAGAGAGAGTGATGGGATCTGAAGAATCCTCCCTAAAGACATTTAAATTTGTATTAAAACCAAAAACCTGTTAGCAAAAGAAATTATACCTGTAGACAGAATTAGGCCAAGAGGCCACCAGTTGTAACCTCTGATATAGCTGTTAACTCACAACAAAAATCTATAGGAAAAAACTGAGGATAAATTATTCTATCATGGGTGTCTATCCTACTTCACACACAAAGTTTTAGCTACATTTGCATGAGAGGATAGTCCCATTACTGGCAGCTGAAGGAAGCAAGGATTTTGCTGCTAGTGCCAGTAACTATTTCTATCTGGTAGATAAGAAAGCTGGCAGAGGTCTAGAACATTGTAGTAATATTGTACCCCTTGCACTGATCCTCTATTTTCAGATCCCTCAGACAGTTGCTCTGGGATGATGGGGAAATACAATAGAGACCTATGAGCTTTTCATTTAGCTCAGACTTGTTAGGTCCTGTCCCTGCTTTTGTAGCTCCTGTTCTTACATTTCTTGTGCCCTTATCAATAAATAGGATTTGATGGAATTTGAAATGGCACTTCATTGTTAAGTTACTGCCCTCACGAGCAGCATTTTAAATATGTGAATGATGAATCTCTACAGTCATATTCCTATTTTTTAAAATCAATTTCTTCTTGATTTAATTTTTTTTCCCAGATCAGGTTTCATCGTTGCTGAAATTGAACCAATGGGCATCTTCCAATTTTCCAGTAGCTCAAGAAATATTATGGTGTCAGAAGATACACAGATGATCAGATTACATGTACAAAGACTATTTGGGTTCCACAGCGATCTTATTAAAGTTTCTTATCAGACCACTGCAGGAAGCGCCAAGCCACTGGAAGATTTTGAGCCTGTTCAGAATGGGGAACTGTTTTTTCAAAAATTCCAAACTGAGGTTGATTTTGAAATAACCATTATTAATGATCAGCTTTCTGAGATAGAAGAATTCTTTTACATTAACCTTACTTCAGTAGAAATTAGGGGATTACAAAAGTTTGATGTTAGTTGGAGCCCACGCCTGAATCTAGATTTCAGTGTTGCAGTGATCACAATATTGGATAATGATGACCTGGCAGGAATGGATGTTTCCTTCCCCATGACAACTGTGGCTGTAGCAGTTGACACAACTCTCATTCCTGTAGAAACTGAATCCACCACATACTTCGGCACAAGCAAGACGACTACCATTCTGCAGCCAACCAATGTGGTTGCCATTGTTACTGAGGCAACTGGTGTATCTGCCATCCCTGAGAAACTTGTCACCCTTCATGGCACACCTGCTGTGTCTGAAAAGCCTGATGTGGCCACGGTAACTGCCAATGTTTCCATTCATGGAACATTCAGCCTTGGGCCATCCATTGTTTACGTTGAAGAGGAGATGAAGAATGGCATATTCAACACTGCAGAAGTTCTTATCCGAAGAACTGGTGGGTTTACTGGCAATGTCAGCATAACAGTTAAAACTTTCGGTGAAAGACATGCTCAGAAGGAACCAAATGCATTGCCCTTTCATGGTATCTATGGGATTTCCAACCTAACGTGGGCAGTTGAAGAAGAAGACTTTGAAGAACAAACTCTTACCCTTATATTCTTAGATGGAGAAAGAGAACGTAAAGTATCAGTTCAAATTTTGGATGACGATGAGCCCGAGGGGCAAGAGTTCTTCTATGTGTTTCTCACAAACCCTCAAGGGGGAGCACAGATTGTGGAGGGGAAGGATGACACTGGATTTGCAGCTTTTGCCATGGTTATTATTACAGGTATATCTTTGAAATGATGGAGATAAAAATGTACTTTTGTGGTACATAATTTGTATTAAGATGAATCTAGCTTAAATTTAATAGAAGAAGGTGAAGTACTTAAGTTATTCATAGGAATGCATTAAAATGTTGTTTTTCTGTAGCATGGACCCATGACATGAACTCAAGATGTGCTGTTCTGAGGGCCCTGTAATTTAATGTACTATAAATGTCACTGAGATCAGAGCCAGTAATACAATCTATAAATCCATACTTTCACAATATAAAGAGCATTTAATTTAATCATCCAAACACGTGATTGCCTATCCTGTTTTGAAACTTCATTCTAAATTTACCAGCCACTTTCAGTAATCCATCCTAAAGTCAAAGATCTCATTGGCAGGAAATTTTTTTTTTCTGTTACCAAATAGATTTAAACCATTGTGTTTTGTTTTGCTTTTGACCCAATGTAGATGATATAGCCATCATACTATTGCATATATATGTTACAATAGCTTAAAAATATAATTATTTTTTGTTTCTCAGGTATCTTATGCAATCTTTTCGTGACAGTTTGCAGTTTACCTCTGTAAATACATCCTGTATTTCTTTTTTTTCTTGTTTTTTTTTTGTTTTTTGTTTTTTGTTTTTTTTTTTGAGATGGAGTCTTGCTCTGTTGCCCAGGCTGCACGGCTCACTGCAACCTCTGCCTCCTGGGTTCAAGCAATTCTCTGCCTCAGCCTCCCGAGTAGCTGGGATTACAGGCACCTACCACCACCCCTGGCTAATTTTTTTGTATTTTTAGTAGAGGCGGGGTTTCCTCATTCTGGCCAGCTGGTCTTGAACTCCTGACCTCGTGATCCACCCACTTCAGCCTCCCAAAGTGCTGGGATTACAGGCATGAGTCACTGCACCCGGCCTGCAATCATACTGTATTTCCTCAAATGAAATACATCAGCATGTCAATACCTTATATGAGTTAGTGACAGGCTATCTCATGATTCTTTTCTTTTTTCATTTTTATATTTTATTGTAAAGGGACAATTTATAATTATACATATTTAAAGGGTACAAGTAATGATGTTATGATTTATAAATACAGTGTAGAATAATTTAATCAAGCTAGTAACATGTACATTATCTCCAACATTTTTTGTAGTGAGAATATTTCAAATTTACTATCTTAGAAACTTGGAAATGTACAGTACTCTGTATTAACTGTATTCACCATTCTGTGCAATAGACCTCAAAACATATTTTTGAGATTTGATGCTTCCTGGAGTTCATATTTTATTTTAGTCACTCAGTTTTAATTCAGTCATAATTTTGCAGTCTTTTAACTTCCTTTCATATGCTCAGCATTATCTCATTTATGTTAACCTACAAATTTGCATCAATTAGTATGATTTATTCCTATTTCTACAGTTTATGTAGTGTATTGTAAATTCTTATTCTATTCTACAAGTTATTTACTGATTTTGATTCAAATTGGCTTAATACCATCTATATATTTCTATTAAAATTAGTTTGGCAGTCAGCATTCTCCTTCTCATTCTATGATACAGATATTTTATTACAGTTATTTGAATATGACCAGGGCTGATAGTTAAAACATGTAACAATTAGTTTGGCACCGGCCAGGCCCATTGAAATGGCTTCTGGAGGTTCTTTGCTGTTCTAAGCGATACTCCATTAATTAATGGATCACAAGGAGGTCTTGTAGTCCTGGTTAAGGAAGTGGCAGTGGGCTGTTTGAGGGGGGCTCAGGACAGAAGTTAGGTACCAACTGGAATGGAAGTGCTTCCCTGTTTTATGAGATAATATAGCCTACCAGTGCCTATTCCTTCATCAGCTCTGAGCTTAGTTTTAACTCACCAGGCAAATGGTAAGTCAGCTGAGCTCTGTGAGATTCTGTAATGTTTACCTTCCCTACATAAGGCACACTCATCACACACCTGTTGCAAATGACTGACACCCTGCCATAGCTACCACTAACGTCATGTGATGTAATTGGCCTGACTACACCACCAGGCACATTCACGTGGTCATAATACCTTAAGTTCCTTTACTTGGAAATGTTGCCCTCATCTTTTCCCTATCTGGCATTTTTTTCTTAATAATATTTCTCACTTAACTGGATAATTAATTTTGCTGCATCCACCCATCTTTATAATCTTTTCACATTTAGATTTTAGAGCAAACTTTCTGAGTAAGTCAGGGAAAAAATAGTTTATTTAGTTTTGATTTCGGTCATTGGCATATTATCAGTCTGGAATCATCTTACTAGAAATCTGAAATCAAATTTGTTATTGTAAATGTGACAAGGGAAGTGTTATTTTCATTAGAATCATGCTAATTGCTATTGCCTTGGAAAAGGAAATGAGGGTTCTGCTGTGATAGTCTTGTAATCTACTTGAAGAGCCCAAATCCTCACTTAAGGTGACAAGAAAACAATTGCTGCCAAAGATAAAAAGTCAATGTCAGATTCTGATACCAGGTTACGAAGTGATTGTAGTGATTAATGGGTGAGGATGAGGACTGGCAGTCTGAAACAAAACACGCATGAGATCCTAGGACAAATGTAACCCATCACTTGCATGTCCCTAACAAAGGGGCTCCACATTTACTTTAAGACCAGGGAAATGGTCCAGAGGCTGATGACTACTAGTTCTTCCCTATCAGGACAGTTCAGTGGTTTCCTGTTTCCTTAACCCAACCTACTCCCTAACTTCAGAAGTTCTGTCTCCTTAGAATGCCAGGAATCAGGTTTCAGGGTGATGGGTACACATGATAATATGGTTTGGCTCTGTGTCCCCACTCAATTCTTATCTCCAGTTGTAATCCCCCAAATCCCCGTGTGTCGAGGGTGGGACCTGGTGGGAGATGATTGGATCATGGGGGCAGTTTGCCCCATGCTGTTCTTGTGATAGTGAGTGAATTCTTATGAGATCTGATGGTTTAAAAGCAGCACTTCTCCTTGCTCTCTCTCCTGCCACCATATATGATGTGCTTTGCTTCACCTTCCACCGTGATTGTAAGTTTGCTGAGGCCTCCCCAGACATGCAGAACTGTGAATCAAACCTCTTTTGTTTATAAATTACCTAATCTCAGCTAGCATCTTTATAGCAGCATAAAAATGAACTAATACACATTGTTTTTCAGGCTGATTGCTTTAGGATCATTGCTTCTAGGATCAATGCAAAACTGGGTCATGGAGAAATAGAAAGCAGTCAGAGCTGTGCACTGGTATTTTTCTAGTCTGAGAAGCTGGTTTAGGTGCTGCCTAGAATTTGAAGTGATGATTTCTGTATAGTATGGGCCCTACTTTTGTTCCAGTTTAAACATTTTTTTTTAAGTATAATGGTACCTCTAACCTCAAGTGTTGCTTAGCAAAGTTTCTGATACCCAGAGATGCTCAGGAGTTCCTTAATATTTCTGTTTTGTTCTGGGGCAAATAGCTTAATGGGTAGCATAGATGGTCTTTTAGTCAAACCTCTTATGTGAAGGTAAATCTGTTGAGCAGAGTTCATTTATTTGACAAAGATTTATTCAACACTTACTATATGCTCAGTTCTGTTCTCGGAGCTGGGGATACAGTAGTGAATAAAAGTTGTTGCTCGAGTAGGGCTTACATTCTGTGGGGGATATATAGTCTTAAAACAGATAAATATCTAAAATTTCAAGTACTGTCAAATGTAAAGTAGGATCTTAATAGAAAAATGAATATGTGTGTCAGGGGAAAGAGTGGGATTTGATTATTTATTTCTTCTTTTCTTCTATTCCCAAACAGCCACCTTGATATTATCACGGTTTAGTTTATTTTTAATAAAGATATTTTAACAACTCTAGCTCCCCTCACCACCTGTGAATTTCTCACTTTTAAAGCATGTGAGCTGGCAAGATTAGTGGAGCATGGGAGGTCTTTTAAATAATTTTTGAATATATTATAGCCCTCCATTCTTTTTTCAGGGAGTGACCTTCACAATGGCATCATAGGATTCAGTGAGGAGTCCCAGAGTGGACTAGAACTCAGGGAAGGAGCTGATATGAGAAGATTGCACCTTATTGTCACAAGACAGCCAAACAGGTAAGTATATATATAGTATATGGAAGATGTAACATTCTGTGTGTCTGTATAAATCCAATTTTAATTCATACAATGGTAGAGGCAGGGTAGGATAGAAGGAAGTAGTGTGGAATTTGGCATGTCTTCAGATGCTGTAGTTCTTAATCTGTGATTATGATACTTTGTTTATGATCATAACTTAGGGTTACCTTGAGTGTTTTATACTTCATGAAGTACCATACAAATATCAGACTATGTAGGTCATCACTTCATCTTACTGCCTGTTACCTGCTCACTCTACATACATACCATTTTCCTGTAAGGAAAACTTGGAGTACCAAAATTTTGTTTGCAACTTAAAACTGTATAGTAGCATCTTTGGATACTAATCACATACATGTGCTTGGCATGCACACATGCACATGTGTATATATTACATTTTCCATTTTGGGCCTAAATAATCTGTGAGAATGTAAGTCTCCCTTTGCCCTATTTTGCAGAAATAACCATTATGAGTGGAAGTGTTATTTCTTTAGAAAAATTCTTTTTAAAAGAGAAATGAGGAACATTTACTTGCCTTTAAGAACTCCCTGTAATTCTCATTTTCACATCTTTTGGACGTAATAGAAAAATATTATTTGTTTTTACATTCCTTATATAGAGTATCAGGATACTTAGTCATTATCGAATGGAATGTAGTCAAAGAAAACCACATAAGCCCTGAGGCTTAATTTAATTCTCTCATTTGTAGTGAGGAAAATTGGTCATTTTCAGCATCATCAATGGTAAAGTAAGTGCTATACTTTGGATGAAGAGGTACCATTTGGCACAGTGATAATAAACTCTATTAGACATGGGGATGACACCCTCTGTTAAGGCAATGGGTGGGTTTCTTGCTCACAGGGCCTTTGAAGATGTCAAGGTCTTTTGGCGAGTCACACTTAACAAAACAGTTGTCGTGCTCCAGAAGGATGGGGTAAACCTGGTGGAGGAACTTCGGTCTGTGTCAGGGACCACAACCTGTACAACGGGTCAAACGAAATGCTTTATCAGCATTGAACTCAAACCAGAGAAGGTAAGAAATGAAGACACACACTAGTGTCAACTTCTAATTGTATTTCTTTAGAATTAACCATTTTAAAACCACTATTGAAACTTATACATTGTTAATATGGAGATTCTTTGTGTCTGTCTTAGCAACAATCTCTAAATCTCTTTGCCGACAACAAACTTTAGACAGACTTGATTACATTATGAATTTTGTAAATAAACTTGTCATTTTTCTATTTTTTTGTTTCTTGCCATATTCTAAAATAACAACCATGTGTAGGTTTCACTTCTTTTATTTGTATTCTTGGTACAGTTCTTTCCTTTTCTTGAAATAAATGTCTTCTTCACAATTCTTTTTATTAACGCCTTCCTACTTACATACAAAGAAAAAAATGTTTATCATTGCTTAATAAATGAACACATGCTTAATAAAAGATATGTCTTGATATGCTAACTCTACACATTAAAATTAATAAAATATTAAGTATATACCGTTAGAATCATATTTATCTTGCATGCTATCTCTTTTATATAATGATAACATTTCTTCTTTCGGTATCACTATAAATTCAAATTCAAATAATTTTTATTACTTACTAAGTGATTTTCTTTTCGGTATTCAAATAGTCATGGCATGGCCACTGATAGTCTTATTATGCTGGTCTTTTGTCTTTTCAGTATTACTTTAAAAATATCTGGAAGCATACTTGCTTTATAGCAATAACAAGTATTCTAGAGCTGTCTTGATTTTTTCCCTAATGTAAGACAGCCAATTAACTAGTGTCAAAGGACTTGATTTCTTTGATCAGAAAGATTTTAGAGATCTATATGTATGTACTAGAGCTATGCAGGGAAGTTGATGCAGGCAAATGTGTTGCTCTTGTGGCCACTCTGGTGGTGGTAGCGCTAGAAAATGTATTTTCCTTAAGGTCTTGAATCCCCACTCTTTTTTTCGTAGTTCAACATATCACATCATTGTTTTTTGCTTTTCTTGAGTTATCATCAGCTACTAAAACTTTCTGTCACACTGACAATGAGGAACTGAAATTTCAGTACTCAAGGCATTTGATCATATAGTATGTCCTCACTTCACGTACTCAATAGGCTCTTGGAAACTGCAACTTTATGTGAAACAATGTGCTGTATAATGAAACCAGTTTTACCATAGACTAATTGATATAAACAACAGTTGAGTTCCTGCTGCACAGTGTATGTCCTTTCCTTTAAAGTTGCTGTTTCCAAGAATCTGTCATGGTTAAGTGAAGACTTACTGTATTCTACTTGAAAACATTTAAACCCTTCTTCACACATTTCTTCCAAATATTTTTATGCTTCCATCAACCCTTTCAACCCCAGATTTCTTTCTGTTATTTTCTTTTTGAGACAGAGCCTCGCTCTGTGGCCCAGGCTGCAGTGCAGTGCTGCAATCTTGGCTGACTGCAACCTTTACCTCCTGAGTTCAAGCGATTCTCATGCCTCAGCCTCCTGAGTAGCTGGAATTATAGGTGCACACCACCATGCCCAGCTAATTTTTGTATTTTTAGTAGAGGTGGGGATTCACCCTGTTGGCCTGGCTGGTCTCATACTTCTAGCCTCAAGCGATCCACCCACCTTGGCCTCCCAAAGTGCTGGGATTGCAGGCATGAGTCACCGTGCCCAGCCTCCATATTTCTTAACTATAGCTTTCTCTTAATCAAAGTACCACTTTCTCCATGGAGCCTCCCATGAAACCTCTAGTTGGAGTTGTTGATTCTCTAAATTTACAAAACATTATCTGTATGTTTCTTATGGAAGTTATCAGTTATATGCAGTGTTACAACTTATGCATAGTTTATATAGACTATAAAACTGTTAGCCGTTCAAAAATTAGAATGTGGTTTTACATCCTCCATAAATATGTTTTGCATACGTGCATTACTAAAAATTATATTGTGCATTTTATCTCGAATATAATTTTTGGTGAATTAGAATACTGATAAGATTTCACTAGACTTTAAACATCTGTCTCATACAGTAGATGTTAACCTTGTAATTCTAAGAAGAGAGACGAGAAGAGCCATCAGGAGTGGGCTTGGGGAAGCTGAATAAAGAGAAATAGGAAAGTTAAAGTATAGATGGGGTTAGGGAAGACTGCTTCCTCGGAGCTTGCCCTCCTTGCAGAAGAATATATAATTAAGGGGTAAGGGAATGTTGCATGCAATACATGGGGTGCTATCTGTATGTATTTGTTATCCTAACTAGAGAAATGCTGCTGAGCCCATCATCAAATAGTTTCAGTTAGGTAAGAGAAAAAAATTACTCGCACCTCTTCTTTCTCTTTCACATATGATATTCAAATCATAGAGTTTTCTTCTACATTTTGAGAAGCAGCTAATTTTCAAGACATTTTTTCCCTCATTATCTTTTTACCTGTTAAAAGGCAAGGTACAAGCAAGGTTAATATACACTCTAGCTTCATTAAGAGGAAATTTGAAAAGAGAGAAGATGGAAGATGATTGTGTTCTCATAAAAATGAAAAAATATTTTTTAAAAAGTACTTTTGCCATACATTTTAACGTTTTACCTTTTTTGAGTAGAAGGGAACTTATTACTCATCCAGTTCAAATTATTTTTATGTCAGATAAACTGAAACCTAATGATATAAACAACACATGTTCTGTGGCAATATTCTTCTGTAGTGGGCTTTGAGAAATTATTTGGAGGTCCTAGTAGAGCCCCCCAATTATTGCTAGACTTTTGACCTAAACACCATCTTCTTCATTTTTTGTCAAAGGAAAGACATCAGTTACACTGAAATTATTCTTGGAGTCACTGGAGTCAGTATAAGAGCTAGGGTTCTGATAATGGAAGACTTTGGTTCAAATCTTAACTCTTCTACCAATTAACTGGGTGACATTGGACAGGTTGCTCAGCCTTCCTGAGCCTCCCAGGTTTAATGGGGTTAATAATATGGCTGTGAGGCAAATAAAGAAAATAATGAATAAGAAGTTCTTAGCACAGCTCTCGGCAGAGTTGGCCCTTCATAAGAGATGGTGAGTATTGTGATTATTCAGAATGAATGGAGATGGAGCCCAAGGGAATGCAGTGACTTGAGTAATAACTACATCAACACAAGTGATAGAAGAGTTACAGATATTGCAGACACAACAAATGTATCCACAGAATTACACCATGTAGGGACCAGCCCTACAGGGTCTGTGGGTTTTTCTTCTCATGTGCAGAGACAAGAGATGATTGAAATAAAGACACAAGACGAAGAGATAGAAGAAAAGACAGCTGGGCCCGGCAGACCACTACCACTAAGACGTGGAGACCGGTAGTAGCCCCAAATGCCTGGCTGCGCTGTTCTTTATTGGATACAAGGCAAAAGGGGCAGGGTAAGGAGTGTGAGTCATCTCCAATGATTGATAAGGTCACGTGAGTCACGTGTCCACCAGACAGGGGGCCCTTCCCTGTTAGGTAGCCAAGGCAGAGAGAGAGAGAGGACAGCTTACATCATTATTTCTTGTATGCTCTTTTCAGAAAGATCAAAGACTTTAACACCTTCACTAATTTTGCTACTGCTATTTAGAGGGTGGAGCCAGGTGTACAGAGTGGAACATGAAAGTGAAACAGGAGCGTGACTGCTGAAGCACAGCATCACAGGGAGACAGTTAGGCCTCTGGATGGCTGTGGGTGGGCCTGACTCATGTCAGGCCTTCCACAAGAGGTGGTGGAGAAGAGTCTTCTCTAACACCCCCAGGGAAAGGGAGACTCCCTTTCCCAGTCTGCTAAGTAACGGGTGCCTTCCCTAGGCACTGATGCTACTGCTAGACCAAGGTCAGCTAAGTAACAGTTGCGTTCCCAGGCACTAGTGTTACTGCTAGACCAAGGAGCCCTCTAGTGGCCCTGTCCAGGCGTGACAGAGGGCTCACACTCTTGTCTTCTGGTCGCTTCTCACCATGCCCCTTTAGTTCCTTCTTTGTATGCTCTGGTCTTTCCTAGGTTATAATTGTAGAGCAAAGATTATTATAATATTGGATTAAAGAGTAATGCTACAAACTGATGATTAACAATACTCATATATCATCATATCTATAATCTATTTCTAGTACAACTACTCTTATTTTATATATTTTCTTTATTGTACTGGCACAGTTTGTGCCCTCGGTCCCTTGCCTTGGCACCTGGGTGGCTTGCTGCCTACAACACCATTCATTAATGGCAGTGTCCCTTACCTCAATCCAGTCTATTGGTACTCAAAGTTTTTTGACTCTGTCCTGTCTCAGATTATCATCTCCGCAGTTTTTCAATACTTTCACTTTCGAATTATTAAGAATTTAAGTAACTTTCCCAATTCAATTACTGGGCCAAGATTATAACTCATCTCTTGAATTTCAGTCCATTTCCCCTTTTCCTGATGATTTATCTTATGATTCTGTATTAGCGAAATGTGAAAGGTTAACAATTAACTTAGGAAGCATGCTCTTAACCACAAAGTCTGTTTAAATCCAGTGTTTAAATATTTGTTGCAAATATTTTCAAAAATATTTAAGTAAAGTATTGTTTCATTGTTACTTTGGTTTTTCTATTGCTGAACAGTTCTGGTCCTTGGAAAAATCATCTTATACTAGTTAGGGCAAAAGATCATCCTGGGACCCTTCTGACCTAACCAGGAAAAGAACCTGCTGGGAATTACGCATGGAATGGGCTCTTATGAGGTCTCTGTCATTTTTAGGAGTCTGGGGAGGTTCACATATGATCTATGAGTCTTGATTTCTCATGAGACTTCAGAAATGTTGTTTCAATAGACTGTTTATTTCTAAGACTGGAAGACTCTTTATGTTACTAGTCTAATGATGTGTAGGCACCCATCTGTACACTGTTCAATTTCAGATGATTCTTTACTTAGATTGTAACATTATTTTGTTTGTAGGTGGCTGTACGTAATGTTCTAATCATCATCACAATGAAAAAGAAATATTTTACTAGAGAATAAATAAAAGTCTCTGTTGGACAATAATATACCGAAATCCTTAGTTAAAAGAAACTACTTTGAATTCAAGCTCACTTGGTCATACTAGATCTTGAATATAGTTACTATACTTTGATAGTGCTTTAGTTTATTGTGTTTGCCAAATGTAGTTTCTCAAAAGTGGAAATAGTATGATTATTTCCATATTTCAATATTGACTGACAGTTGATCAGCAACAGTAGAGAATGATATGTGCCATAGGAAAAACTAAGTATTTCTTCAGAAAACAAAAGGAGATTAAGTTGATTTATGCTGTGACTAAGATATAACTTATTTATAAACACTTGGATAATTCTGAAGGGTTCGTTGTATCATTTCATGATGTAATAATTATCATTAAAATGATCACAAAACATAATGGCAGTTGCTGGTAGGTAAAAATGATACATTATATCAAATTAGACAATGTTACTGCAGTTATAAAGGCATCAGCTTAGCTCCTTTGAGTTATGCCGGGAAGGTAACAATATTACTAAGACTCGTGGATGATTTTGTTAAGAGTGAATCATTAGTAAAAACAGGTGATTGCCAATATGTTATAAAATTGAATTCAGGCTTTAGAAAATAAATTATTTGAGACTATCAAGAAGGAACCAAGGTGAAACATTAGCAAACTACAACCAGCAGACTACATTTAGACTATATACTGAATTTTGGGAAATTTTGAAAAATACATAAAATTTTAGAATTGACTATTATAAATATTTGATTATATTTATTTAAAACACTTTAAAAAATAAAAGAAAAATAAAACCTTACAAAATTGAAAATCCATTTTTTCCCTCTCCCCAGTAATATTCTCCAACTCCACTCCCTGCCCTGTCCCCTACCCAAACCCTCCACCCAGAGCAACTGCAGTCAGGGTGTGGTAGTTAAAAAAGAAAACTTTACATAAATGTGTATCTATTAATAAAATATACTAAGCTTTGTGTAGTTTTAACTTTACCTTTATGGTATCATGCTATACATATCATTATACAGCTTGATATTTTCACTTGTCATATTTTGAGATGTGTCTGTGTTTAAAAATATTGAATTAGTTTATTCCTTTTAACTACTTTATAATGTTTTGTGGTATGAATACATTTAATTTATTTTTTTGCTGATCATAGTATACATAGGTTATTTCCTGACATTGATTTTCTAGTAAGAAGCTCGCCCAGAGAAAGTGAATGTATTTTTAAAGAAAGACCAAAAAATAAATGTCATGATAATCTAAGAATTTAATTCCATAATTTACAGAATATATCTCTAGATTTATATATTTATTTCTCTAATAATGTGTATGAATCATACAATTTTTAAATATCAGAACTATCTACAGATAGAAATTTATTAGTAATAGTTCTTTTTTTTTTCCTTTTTCTCATTGTCAGATACCACAGGTTGAAGTGTATTTTTTTGTGGAACTATATGAAGCTACCGCTGGAGCAGCAATAAACAACAGCGCCAGATTTGCACAGATTAAAATCTTACAAAGTGATGAATCTCAAAGCCTCGTGTATTTTTCTGTGGGTTCTCGGCTGGCAGTGGCTCACAAGAAGGCCACTTTAATCAGTCTGCAGGTGGCCAGAGATTCTGGGACAGGACTAATGATGTCTGTTAACTTTAGTACCCAGGTAAGCATGGAATATATACTCATACATGTTATGGTTTTCTTCTTTAACTGCAGCTAGAGTAATGACACAGGGAATAATTGATACATTATTTTCTGAGGATAACATTGTAATTCACTTTTTGTTCATTACATTAAGCTTTATCCTTGAAACAGCTCAGCTTTTCACTCATCAGTAACAGATCATGTTTTAAAATGACAGACTTTTATTTTTTCTCTCTTTTGACAAGATTGGTTATACAGTGCAAACTATATCTTACATAAATCTGTTTTATAAAATCTCTAGGGAGTTAAAATTTCTTCAGAATGTAACTGTGTAAGGCCAGAAGCAGAAAGTAAGGATCTTATTATGTTTTGTATCCAAAACAGTTGAAAATTTTCTTTTTCAGAACCTCCAGTACTAGCTGATCTTTACACTTCTTCACATCCATGCGTTCACAAAGCCTCGCTGTCACTTTTTTCACATCCATCCTCTTAGGTTGGATAAAAGACAGGGAGGCTATCAGGGGACTCAGAAGATCAATGCTGCATAACACTAAGTCACCAGACCATGGGCTTGGCCCCAACAATACCATATACCTTTCAGCCTTATTTTTTGCTTTTGTTTTAGCAGTGAAACTCTAATATAGTAAAGCAAAAATGTGTCTCTACTCTGCTTGAAGCATGATTGTTAGGATCATAGCTGACCCACCTTAGTCCTCTCTTTGTTCCCCTTACTTTATGTAACTTCAGGAAACCCACTATTTGAAAACCACCATTCTGGACAGCTCTTCTATTTCCCATGTTTCAAGAATCCAAACCAGATGACTCCTTGGGCCTTAAGATTTCATAGTTTCATTAAAAGTTCCCTTTAGTACCTGCTTGGTTGTGTCACCATTGGGTGACTCAAACAAACAGGACATTCTGTGCATAAAAGAGAACATATATGTGGCCAGTATGCTGTAGCAGTTGCATGAGTCAAGATGAGAGAATAGGCCTCAAGCTGTGGATATTAAGCTGTTCTGGAAGTTTGCCAGGCAGTGAAAGTTATCTTTATGACAGAGTCCACAGCTCAGCAAACAAAAAGAAAACTCTCTATTATATGAGACCCTAGAAATAAAGTCTTTTCTAAATAGCACAAAGAGAAGTATGTTCATTTACAGTAGGAAGACTTGAGTATTTTTTATTGGAGTATTTAAGATAGAAGACAAATTATAGAAAGTCTGTTTCATTCTTCCTCTTCTCCCATAAAATGTGTATTGTCATAACTTACTACTTTGTAGAATGGAAGAAAGGGCACTGGAGATGAAAAAACAGATGATAAAAGAGATTTGAGGCACATCTTAAGCGAGTTTATGTGCTCAGTCAGATGAGAGGGAAATTGAAGTTGCCAAAAGAAGAATCTGAAGGCCAGCATCTCTGTCATATATATTTATATCTTTTATAGATTCTTTATAAGTGATTCTTTGCAAAATGCATGCTGTCACTAGTGTATAAATCATAAAGGGCACTTATTTATGGAACAATATATTTTTAGGAATTTCCAGTTTTCCCTACCATAATGGTTAATTTTACATGTCAACTTGACTGGACCACAGAGTGCCCATATATCTGGTCAAACATTATTCTGAGTGTTTCTGTGAGGGTTATTTTTTGGAATGAGATTGGCATGTAAATCAGTAGACTGAGTAAAGCAGATTGACTTCATAATGTGGGTGAGCCTTATTTAATCAGTTGAAGTCCTAAATAGAGCAAAAAGCCTGGCCCTCCCTTAAGTAAGAGATAATTTTTCCTATCTGATAGGCTTTGAATTGGAATAGTGGCTTTTTCAGTCTTTGGACTCAAAATGGAACATTGGCTTTTCCTGGGTCTCAAGCCTGCTGGCCTTTGCAGTGGAACTATACCATTGGTTCTCCTAGTTCTCAGGCCATAAGGTTTGAACTGGAACCACTGACTTTGGTCTCCAGCCTGTGAAATCATCCTGCAGATGATCTTGAGTCTTCTCAGCCTCTATAACTGCATGAGCTAATTTCTTATAACAAATCTCTCTCTATATATATACACAGACACACATATATACATATATACACATATATACATACATACATATATATACACACACACACACACCCCCTATTCTGACCCTGACCCATAAACACACTACCCTGAGATTATGGGCTTAGTAGAGAATGTTTGTGGCAATGCATTAATACCAGTTTTTTTTAATTTTTAATTTTTGTAGGTACATAGTAGGTGTATATATTAATAGGATACATGAGATATTTTGTTACAGGCATACAATGCATAATAATCACATCAGGATAAATGTGGGTATCCATCACCTCAAGCATTTATCCTTTATTTTTGTTACAGACAATTCAATTATACTTTTCTAGTTATTTTTAAATGTACAATAAATTATTGTTAACTATAGTCATCCTGTTGTGCTATCAAATACTAGATTTTATTCATTCTATCTGACTATTTTTTGTACTCATTGACCATTCTAACTTCCTTCAACCCCCTCCACCCCACCGCCACCACCCGTCTCAGCCTTTGGTAACCATCATTCTACTCCCCATCTTCATGAGTTCAATTGTTTCAATTTGTAGCTCCCACACATAAGTGAGAACTTGTAATGTCTGTGTTTCTCTGCGTGGCTTATTTCACTTAACATAATAACCTCTAGTTCCATCCATGTTGTTGCAAATTACAGGATCTCATTCTTTTTAATGGCTTAATAGTACTACATTGTGTATACGTACCACATTTTCAATATCCTTTCATCTGTTGATGGACACTTCGGTTGGTTCCAAATCTTGACTGTGGTGAATAGTGTTGCAACAAACATGAGAGTGTAGGTATCTCTTCGATACAGTTTCTTTTCTTTTGGGTATGTCCCTAGGATTTCCTTTCTTTTGGGTATATACCTAGGAGTGGAATTACTGGATTACATGGTAGCTCTATTTTTAGTTTTTTGAGGAATCTCCAAACTTCTCCACAGTGGTTGTACTAATTTACATTCCTACCAGCAGTATATGAGGGTTCCGTTTTCTCCACCTTCTCACTAGCATTCATTATTGCCTTTCTTTTGCATAAAAGCCATTTAACTGGGGTGAGATTATATCTCATTGCAGTTTTGATTTGCATTTCTCTCATGATCAGTGATGTTGAGCACCTTTTCTTATACCTATTTGCCATTTGTATGTCTTTTGAGAAATGTCTATTCAGCTCTTTTGTCCATTTTTAAATTGGATTATTACATTTTTACTTATAGAGTTCCTTGAACTCCTTATATATTCTAGTTATTAATCCCTTGTCAGATGGGTAGTTTGCAGATATTTTCTCCCATTCCTTGGGTTGTCACTTCACTTTGTTGATTGTTTCGTTAGTTGTGCAGAAACTTTTTAATTTGATGTGATTCCATTTGTCCAGTTTTGCTTTGGTTGTGGGGTATTACTCAAAAAAAAATCTGCCAGTCCAATGTCCTAGAGAGTTTCCTCCAATGTTTTCTTGTAGTAGTTTCATAGTTTGAGATCTTAAATTTAAGTCTTTAATCCATTTTTATTTTGATTTGGCTTTTTGTGTATGGTGAGAGATTGGGATCTAGTTTCATTCCTCTGCATATGGATATCCAGATTTCCCGGAACCATTTATTGGAGAGACTGCCCTTTTTCCAATGTATGTTCTTGTCACCTTTGTGGAAAATGAGTTCACTGTAGAAGTACGGATTTGTTTCTGGGTTCTATTCCATTCTGTTCCATTGGTCTATATGTCTGCTTTTATGCCAGTACCATGCTACTTTGGTTACTATCGCTCTGTAGTATAATTTGAAATCAGGTTATGTGATTCCTCCAGTTTTGTTCTTGTTGCTCAGGATAGCTTTGGCTATTCTGAGTCTTTTGTTTTTCCATTTAAGACTATTTTTCCTGTTTCTGTGAAGAATGTCATTGGCATTTTGATAGGGATTGTGTTGAATCTGTAGGTTGCTTTGGGTAGTATGAACATGTTTACAATACTGATTCTTGCAATCTATGAACATGAAATATCTGCATTTTTGTGTCTTCTTCAATTGCTTGCTTCAATGTTTCTCATAGATTTTTTTTTTGTTTTTGAGATAGGATCTTGATCTTTTGCCCAGGCTGGAGTGCTATGGTGTGATCATGGCTTACTACATCCTCAACCTCCTAGGCTCAAGCAATGCTCCCACCTCAGCCTCTCAAGTAGCCATGACTACAAGTGCACACCACTACACCTGGTTAATTTTTGTAGTTTTTGTAGAAATGGGATTTTACCATAATACTGAGGCTGGTCTCAAACTCGTGGGCTCAAGCAATCCACCAACTTCAGCCACCCAAAATGCTGGGATTATAGGCATGAGCCACCATGCCTACCCAGTTTTATAGTTTTCATTTTAGAGATCTTTCACTTGTTTGGCTAAGTTTATTCTGAGGTATTTTATTTTATGTGGCTATTGTAAATAGGATTTTTTTTTTTTTATTTTCCATATGGTTCACTGTTGGCACATAGAAATGCTACTGATGTTTGTATGTTGATTTTAAATACTGCAACTTTACTAAATTTGTTTATCAATTCTATTTTTTTTGTTGTTGAAATCTAGTTTTTTCCAAATACAAGGTCATATCATCTGCAAACAAGGATAATTTGACTTCTTCCTTTCCAATTTGGATGGCCTTTATATCATTCTCTTGTCTGATTGCCATTAAAATATTGCCATTTAAAGTAATTGTCATTATTTTAAAATGATGACATCTTATTACTGATTGCATAAACATACAAATGAACTAACAAGCAAAGAGAAAACTGATAGAATTTGACACCTTAACTTTGTGCCCCACTTTTTAACTTTTTGTCGTTTCTAGTTGTATCTTATTATACTGTCTATGTCTAGAAAAGTTGTTGTAGTTATTATTTTTATCCGTTCATTGTTACTCTTTCTACTCAAGAAATGAGTAGCTTACACACAAAAATTACAGTGTTATAATATTCTGTAATTTTCTGTGT